CCCCCCCCCCCCACCATGCCCAAAACCTCCCCTTCACCCCACAGCTGCCCCTGGCTCAGCTGCAGAACTAAGCAGCTTCATTGCATCACATTGGATCACGTTGCTGGGGCCTGCGCAGCAAACTAACACACCACTGCATTGCACAAGGCAGGTGTTAACATGGGGTCACATTGCAAAGGATCCCAAGACGAGCATCTAACCTTGGACAGCAGATTAAATGCTGCTGACTTGCTGCTGAAGCATGTTGTTAGTCATGACAACAAATTAATGGGACTCCTTTGAGAGCCAAGAGCAGCTCTGTGGTTTTGGGGCTGGAGTCATTTTTGTGATCGGGCTATCAGGTGGAGTTCAACTCAGGACTGGAGTGAGATTCACCAAGCCAGCAGGGTCGGACACAGGCCTGGGTGAACCGGGCAGCTGCCCGGACAGAAAGGGGGCCTGAAATTGGTAATTTTTATTATTACCATTATCTCTGGCAAAGGGGGACCCGACACTAAAAGTTCACCCGGGACTGCCAGGAGTCTAGGTATGTTGCTGCAGGCCAGACCAGGGCTACATCGGAGATATCTTCCCATGAGTTTTCTACCATTTTAGAGAAGAAATTTCATGAGTTCTGTTGCTTTCAGGATGCATCCAAGAAGAAAAAGAGAGCAGGTTTCTTTGGGTTTTGAACACACAAGTTGTGGGGCATGTCCAGCTCGGGGAACAGACATTAAACCTCTCCAAAAATTTGAGAGGGCTGAAACCTGGGATTCTGATCCTGACCCATAGCTAGTTTTGATCCAGGTAGCCCCCAACTTTCCAAGCCAAACAAGGCCAAACCCCTCCAGAAAAAAAACTCATGTGCAATTCTTGAGTTTTGCAGGAATGTGCTGTGGGAACATGAATCAACTCAGGTTCACTGAAAACTGGCCCTGGGTTGGCTGGAAACACTCCTAAGATCATGTTAAAAGTGTGCTGAGTTTTGTTTCTCCAGCAAAACCTGCAAGACAGTGAACTGCACGCAGTTCCAAGGCTGGTTACAAACACTTCCCATATCTTTGCCCAATGCTCCTTTGAAACAGGTTGGCACTTTGTGCTTTAGCAGAATGGGCCTGGCATCATCAGGCAGGCATGCAAATGCTTGTCTTTAGCTCTTGGCAGAGAGGAGAGATGGAGGCACATAAATCAGCAAACTTCAGTCCCTTCTCACCATTCTCAGGTAGTTCATCAAGCTGGTACCATGCTGCCAGATCTGTGCAGAGCCACAGGACAGGGGTTTCACACCAATCTCCTGGCTCCGGTTCAGCTCCTGGACTGCACTCACAATGGCATAAACGGCATCAAACAACAAGGCAGAAGACAGCTGTGAGGAAAACGCAGAGAGAGTTAGCTCCAGAAGCTGGAAAATTCAACAAGACCTGATAGTTTGCACTGTTGTGAAAGAACAAGTCCACAGCGATTGCCACAAGTATGTGCATGCAGTTACACCCCTGCACCATAAAGGAGTCCACACACATGCACCAGAGCAGCAGCTCGTACCCCTAGCCCAACACACTTCAGTCACCCTGCCACACTCCTGATGCCTTTATCTACCTAGCCTTGCAGCCTCCTCCAAGTCTGAGGTCAGCAGCTGAATTGGCATTCAGACTCACAGAAAGCAGGCAATGAAATGCTGCCGGGGGCAGAGGGGCAGCATTCTGCACCCAATTCACACGTGGCAGTGCCCTGAGATCCAGGTCAGCAGTGTCTTTTGAGCACAGCAGTGTCAGCAGTGTCTTTTGAGCACACTCCTCCGTGAGTTTCCATGCAGATGGTGGTGGCAGGTGTAGCTTGCGCTGCCATCCCCAATTCTCCTCTATCCTCTCGACTTCCTCCTCCTTTGCTCAAGCTCATTTCTTTGCTCTCCCCCGTCACTTTGTTTTACAGCTCATCCCATCATCATCAGTCCTCCCCTCTGTGCTCCTCTCCCTTCTGCCCAGCTGTCCTCCCTACCTCCTCCTCCTCTTTGCTCCCAGGATCGGACTGGCCATTTATCCCCTTTACTGGAAAGTTACTGGACACCCCTTCTCCAGCTGGACTTTCCTCTAAAAATATCATTGTTCAGGAGATGTTAACACCCATATATTGGTTTGATTCCTTCACCATTTCTTTTTATCCACCCAGTCTCACATGCAAAACTGTCACAGCTAATAACCGGCTAGTTGTTCTCCTATCTTCATTGCTGTAGCTGAAACCTCACTTTTAATTATCATCACTTCCCGACTGCGCTGGAATGTAGTTGTTGCAGCTCATTACGATCAAAGCTGCATTTTTCTACTGGTCTCTTCAAAGAGCTTCCTCTTGACTACTCCAGTGTCCGACAGCATCTTTTCTCTTTAGCCTGTTGAACCTTCCCCCCATTTCACCCCAGCTGTGGGCATTCACAGTTCAACTCTAGCTACTGCTCCTGTCCCTCTCAAAGCCTGATCGCATTCATTCACTACCCCTATCACCCTAGGGAGACAATCGTGTTCAGTTCAATCACCTGAGCAGTCCCCTTTGGCTCCAAGTGTTACTTGTTTGAACAGAGTGAGCTAGATTTAACCCTGCTTGATCCTACTCAAGGCAATGGCCAGGATCTCACTGTCTTTGATGCCCCAGTGTCAGGCTTTTAATGAGTAACAGAGAGGGCTTTAAAATGCGGAAGCTGGTGCTATGAAAAACTGTTGAATCCAAGCTTAATGCTAGCAAAATCCCTATCATCAGCATTAATGGTGCTGATAATCCCTTACAGATTTCTATCTCCTATCCCTCAATAGCATTCACATTTGTCCTACCAAGCTTCCTTCCAGCCCAATCATTTGTCTCCTCCTTTCTCCCTGCTATTCAGTATCAGTTCTTATCCCACACTCATCCCCACAAAACCCAAGCACCGTCTAGGAACACATCAAATGGCATGACACGCATCTGTCACACGTGGTTCATCTCTCAGTATTTGACTCATTTCACCCACAAGAACGGGCAGAACATTTCCCCTTTCTGGAGCAACTTTCACTGGAGGGACGCAAAGTATTTTGCTAACATAGATTAACCGAGCTTCACGATGTGCCTGGGGGCATAGGGTAAGTATTACAGTCATTTTTAAAGGAGGGTAAACTGAGGCATGGAAGAGGTTGAATAGACACATGGGGAGTCTATGGCAGAACTGTGAATTGAACCCAGGCATCCTTTTTCCTTAAGCCCCTTGCTTGAACCATACATTGGTTCAATGGTTCAATGTCTTATCATTTATAGAGGCCGGGGGTTTTTTCTCTGGTGCCTGTTTCTTTCTGACGTTTCCCTAGGATGCACTTTCAGGGCTTTTAAAGTAACTGCAGTATCCCCCTCCCAGCCCCTCTTTACTCATCTAGTCTCCCCTCAACCCAGGTGCCACTGCTAGGAATGGCAAGCAGAACTGCTATATCCTCAACTCTCTGTGCAGCATAGGGGGGTTAGAAAAGCCTGTAAACACATACATAACTTTAAGCATGGACTGAAGTCCCACTCCAGTCATGGGCTTACATGTGCACTTCTGTACTTTGCTGACACAGGGTCCTTAGCAGTAACCACAGACCAAATATTCACGTGATGTTGAGAGGTGTAACTCCACCATGCTCAGAGTTAAACCATCTCTGAAATCTGACCCAACGTCTTTTGCTGTCTCCAGACAGGTTTTTATTTCCATTTCATCTGAGCAGCTAATGAACTCTTATTAGCTAGTGAGCGAGATGCTTGTAGATCTTAGTGAAGCATTTGACATTATTGACTGGGATATTTTACTCCTGAGCCTTGAACAATTTTGCTGGTCTTTTTGGTATTGTCTGTAGCTTTTGAAACAATTTCTTGGGCTTGCTTTGCTTCAGGAGATTTCCTCTATTGGGAGGGGAGGAATCTCCCCAGGTCCTGCCCTCCCCTTTCTTCTTTCTCTAATTACAGCCTTGCTCTGAAGCACCCGATTTCCATCTCTAACCCTGGGTGTCATTGCTAATCCATTCATACCCTGCCCATCCGAGTCTCAGACCCCCCATTCAAGCTAATCGCATGATTGTGTGCAGTCTGAGTGATGACTTCTGAAAGCTTGGGACTGGCAATAATGAAGAGGAGCCAGGACCTGCCCTCAGACACCTTGATCTTCTCTGCCATTATTTCAGGAACCTGTTTTAGGGCCTCCACCTCACCTCCTCCCTAACCCCAACACCTGCTCTAGACAAGCCTGTGGACTACATTTTACTCCAGCCAATCGCTTAACACCAAAATCCTCTCGGCTACTTCACTTCCTGCTGCGGTCAGTGCAACAGCCTGCTCCTCTACTGTCCCTGCCATCTGGAGCAGGTCTCTGCATCTCTCCGGCCATATCAAATTGCAGCTGAAAGCCATGCTCCCCCCTTAGCCTATTGCCATTCCCTCTGCCATTATTTATCTGTTAACTCTGTTAGTTGTATTTAACTCAGCAAAGCAATTTCGGATTGAATTTGTATGGAAGGCTCTTGTACAAAATTAAGTTGCTTTTCATTTATCAGCACTGCTAGCAGGCCTTTTGGGATCCTCCATCCATGCGGTTTAAAGCTCATTCATGAAATCTTTCCTCGTTCCCCTCACCCACCCTCTCAGCCTCTCCTATGAAATCTCCTGTTCCTTTTACTCTCCCCCCTCTCTAAGCCACAGCTCTTTTTGGCTTTTGACATAAAACCAAACCCTTTTTGACTGTTAATACCTGACTCCATTTTTGTGCACCGTATCTGGAATAAAGAGGTCCGTGACATGCTGGGTGTGGAAGGTGCTGTGGGTCCCAGAGGAGGCTCCTACCTACTGGAGAATGTGGGTTGTGGTAGAAGGGAAAGAAAAGACCCTTTCCCTGCCCTGTATCTCACATGGCTGATGAGATCCATAATTCAAGTAAATACCCCGGGAAGGTACCTTGGAGAGACTGAGGGATGGGTAAAAGCATCTCTGTCCTCTCCATATACCAGCCAGCCGCCCTACACTGTGCCTTGAAGCTCTGTGGGCTGCAGCTGGGTGACTAAGCGCTGCCAGTCACTCCCTAGGAAAGGGACAAGAAGCAGTTCCATCCTTTCCACGTACCACCAGCTGGTTGGAGAAGCAGGGAGCTATGGGAGTGTGGCTCACCCTAAACTCTGCCCACCACAGTGGCACTGATCCTCTCTGCAGCTCCACCTCCCTTGACTCCATCCCGAGGGTCAGTATAGCCGGGCACTGGTCCCGGCACACAACCGTGGTGGACTCCCACAGTTTAGCCCTATAGAAACACCAGTGGGCCTGGCATAGCGTGGCCTGGGTTATAACTTTTAGTTACCAAAAACATCCACAGAAAGGTCATGTTTGAAGCCAGGCTGCTCTCAGCAGGAACAGGGGCAGCTTGGGTTGTTTCTTCCCCCCTCCCTTCCTACCTAAACCATTGTCATCTGCATCTTTGCCCCCCAAACATAACACAGAGAATTAAAACCATTACAATCCCGTGAAATAGACTTTACAATCTGGATTTTATTCAATGAAATAAACACTTAATTACAAACATCTGTTTCAGCCTAAATTCTAATTACCTAATCTAGCCATCTGTAATTTTAATGATTTTCTCTGATTTCCTTTCTTTGCAACGTGATTAATGAGAATGGCATTTGAACAAGTATCTCCCTCCTCCTTCCAAAGACACTTTCACATCTCTGGCAAGGAAGCCGGAGGATTCTGCAGCTTATAGGAAACCTCCTGTCATGTCCAGCTGTTGAAGTCCCGTCCCTGAACCGTTCCAGGAGAGCTCAGCTTGCTGGAGCGGACAGGGGAAGCACTTACAAGAGGGAGGTGCTTGCCTGAGCCAAGTTAAGAGCTTAGCTACAGCAGGTGCTTGCAATGGCAAGAGACAGGAGACAATTCACGGTGAAATGAGAGACTTCCCTATCAAACTGAAGACAAGAAAATCAGCCTCCTGCTCGTGCAGTTTTGTTCCGCCGGCAAAACACTTTTCTTTATCACTAGGGACTCAATAGCAGAGGGCCTTGGTAATGGTGCTTAGTCACCACAATGACGGGGTCAGGAAGAGACCCTCTGCATCACAGTCTCGTGGCTAAGTCCTAGACTCACTCTGGAGGGTCCAGCTGACCCCAAACTCCCTGCATTAAATCAGGGATATCACTGAGGGTACATACGCAACACTTCCTCTGCACTGCTGGGGTACTGCTCACATACGCTGCACCCCCTGGCTCCTGCTCGGTATCTGCCAAGCCAGGAAATGAGGTGGCAAAGCTGCTCTAGGGGCACTTACTACCACTGCCCTCAATCATGCCCGAGACAGGGAGCAGGAGCAGCAGCCAGGGGAGCCCCCAGAGCAGCTCTGCTGCCTGGGCTCTAGGTTTGGCAGGTGTGGGAAGTATGCAGGTGCATAAGTGCTGACTTTTATTTTTGCCAGGGGCAGAGGTGCTAAGATGATGGACATGTGGACATTTTATGCATTTCAAGTGACAGCCCTCTTCCTGAGGGGGACCAGGGTCCTCAGGCCCCCAAGTATTCAGCATTTCTGTGCAGGTGCATGACAGCAGCACCCCAGAACAAGTGTAGATACAGCCTGACTCTCTTTGAACCCTCTCTGCAAAATATCCCTTCCTTTTGCCCATCTTTTCTGGTGCCAGTTTAAACTGGAAGCATCTGGGGGCAGCTACTGCTCCACCATGCCTAGGAAAGTGGGGGGTCCAGTCCCCGGGGGGAGAAGGAGGGCAGTCTCTTGTGGACGCAAATGTTAAGCTGCCATGACAAAGAGGTTGAAAATCACTACAACCCACCAAGGTTTGGGGTTGGAAATGGGATGGCACTCAATAATTGACAGAAGTAGGACTGAATGGGCCAGGGTGATTGAACCCACTTTGTGTCTTCCCACCTAGCCCCTCCTGGAAGCCACCTCTCTAATGCAGGAGGGATCTTGCCCTTCTGCTTAGCCTGTTTTTTGAACAACTTAAGACATCCAGCTGCCTTAATGTTACATGGACGGGAGTTTTAGACAGAGACTCCCAAGCCAGCACCAATCAGCAGCACTGAATTCACTCAAAAATAGGGGGCAAGGTGGGGATCAAAAAGGGGCGCTCCTTGCATCTCTGGAGCATTCTCAAGCCCATTCAAGACAATCTGGAAAGAGGAGAGTGGAGATGTTTTCTTCCCCACCTTCAGCATTTGCACTTCTCAGGGTTAGCATCTGATTGCTCTGTTAGAAAAGCTTTAGTTTTAATGCATCACAACAGCCCTGCAGCTGTCGCCCAAGCAGGCAGCTTCCTTGTGCAGAGTGCATCGAGATGCAGCCAACCAGACGGTGCACAAGTTGCACCCACCTGAGCACAAAGGGTGGGTAAGGACAAGGGGGCAGGGGAGGGAAGAACTGGTGGCGCTGTTGCAGCAGCAGGTTGGTACCACTCAGGTGTGAACCCTGACTGCCTCTTCCTGGCAAGCAAACACAAAGTGGAGAAGACTCCTCATTGGCGCTGCTTACAGTTTATTTGTAGCGAAAACCATGGGGCTTCCAGGCTGCCTCAGGAGCCCAGGGGATTTTTATTCCATTTGTCAAGATGCAAATTGTTTTGCTGCTTTTTACTCTCCCCAAACTCTATCCCCCACCCCCGCTCCATCCATTTGTAGCAAAGCTGCTCTGCAAACTTTCCAAGAGAGACAGGGACCCTAGGGGAGATTGCAGCAGTCATTAGCAGGCTCATCAGGGAGACTCTGGAGCATGTGAAGTATCTCGCTCCTCAGGCTTCCAGCTAGGGCCCAGGAGGCTCCCTTCCTACATTGTCTGCATCTGCTTCCCCTTCCTCCCCTGCCTTCCCAGGGAAGCATGCTGCACAGGAAAACTCAGATGAAGATAGGGGCTGACTGTGAAGGGAAGTAGCTAGCCTTGAATAACTCTCAAAGTGGATCAAGCTAAAAAGGAGCAGAGCCCTCTTCGGGTATGTCTACATGGCAAAGTGCTCTCACACACCAAACCAATGGAGCTGTAAGGAGGCTTGGCAACCCCCATGATGACTCTGCCTCATTTAATGAGCTCCTGGAAAACATCACTTCCCACCTGTATTTATATGACAAGGCAATTCTTTCACCTGAAATGCTGACAATAGCAACCTCAAACTCAGAAGTAGCAATGGGGAGCACGAGGGAGGAGGAAAGGTGCCTATTCCCTCAGCTCTGCAACCAGATGTTGAGTAGGTGCGTGCAAAGAGATCTAGTGAATGGATCCGTTTGTGTGGAGTCCAGTGACCACCACACCAAGACCTTCGACGCATATGCCTGGTGCTACTCCCAGCTCCTCACCTAGCTACTTGTCCTCTTTCTTCGTGAGAAGTCCCTTCCTTTCCTGTAATGCTTCCCATCCACCTCAGCAGCCTATACGCCGACCCAGCCAGTTTATTCCTTCTCTGCATTACTTGCTTGTCCTGTACCATCCCTCACAAGCTCTGCTCGCCTGTTAGTTCCCTTCACAGCTGTTCCACATTGATCGTCACCTTTGCACCAGCCCCTGCTGCCTCGTTACCACTTCCAACAGCTGTAGAAAGGGTTGTGGTAGAGAGAGCTATACCTACCGCGGGCCCTGTAAAGGGAGCGTGGTCACAGTTCTCTTGCCAGGACTGGTTGAGGCTCTGGACGAACTCTTGGAAGAAAGCATGAGATTGGTTGAAGATGGAAAATCCCAAGACATTCACCCGGTCATCCAGCAGGCTGTCCAGTCGCTGGAGGGAAAACTCCTAAAGCAGGGCAGCAACCCAAAAGAGAAAGCAGCATTAGGCGATGGAGCACAGTAGCTAATTCATTACCAGGTCATGGTGCAAAGGGACGGAGGGAGTGCAGGTGGTGGGAAGCATCTGCTGGATGGTTGAAATGCACCCACCCCAGGCTGCTGACAACCAAGAGTCAAGATCGTACGACGGCTGGTAGCAGGTCAGGATATGGAATCGGCTGGTGACCTCTCGCTCCCAAGAGTGGCAGCAGCTGAGCCGACCACCAGAAACATCAGCTCTTGTGTAGAGGCCAACAACTAAATGGGTATTGGAAATGGACCTCCTTTTGCAACCCATGACTGCGAACCCTACAGAGCATGATGGACATATTGGCAGGGAAGGTAGTGGGGATGACTGGCAGTGCTGTGGAAGACTGAAGCCATATTCTCAGCAACAAATGCCGCAGCAACTTTATATCTTTGACATGCCATTACAACGAGATCAAATACAGTGTGGAAAAAAGAGCTGTGGTTCCCCACCAAGGCACTGGGAGAACCAGTGGGGAAAGGGGCTAATGAAGGCATGGGGAGACATGGGAGCCTTGCAGCTGACCAGGGAAAAGTGTCTGGACAGCCAGAGATGCCCCAAGGGGGTTGAGGACAAGCAGAGGTTTGGAAGAGGTCCACCCAGGACAGAGCATCCAGCTCAAAGGGGAGAGCCCTGCAATTAAGTGGCATATTTCACCCCCACCTCCTAGTCCCCAACTTGCCACTACCCAGCAGCATCTGTCCTGCAGGCAAACAAAGGTCCTCAAAGCCTCCAGGGCAGTCACTCCAGTGCATTTCCCACTGCCCCCCCTAATTCCACACACCACCTTGATGGAGAGGGTCCCACCTCCCCCCATCGCCTGTTTATCAGAAAGGACCAACAGACCATTTCGCTTTTAAAAGGGGGAGGAAGAAGCCCTGGCCCAGCTCCAACCTCTAGAGAGATCCCTGACAGCACACCGTTTCCACGCTACAGCCTTATTCCAGGAGTCACAACTGTTCCCTGCCATGGCGGAGAGCTCCAGGCACACAGCTGTCTGTCTGAGCAGAGCGGGACTCCCAGCCCTCCCAGTGTGACAGACCACGGAGACACCTGTACAGAAAGAGCCTCCTGCTATTTCATCATCTCCTATTTCTTGCCTCAGAAATAACCGCTGATTGGGCTCTGGCCAAGGCTTTGAATACCAGCTGCTGAATTTACCTCCTGCCAATTGCTGCTGTTTTCCAGATAGACCATTTCAAGAGTTTTAGCTCATGTTATAAGCAAGGCACGCGCACAAGCAATTAAACCAGTTCTGTTACCCAAGACAGACCTAGAAGGTCCTTGCTTCTCAGTCAGCGTTTCTTTCAGGGCTTTATTTCTTGAGACAGGGGACAGTCATGGGTGAGTAGCCAAGGCCCTTGGTGATGCTGGCGAGACAGCAGAAAGGGGATGGAGCGCATGGACTCCTGGTTACAGCCTGGGCTGGGGAGTTGGGCACCTCCTGTTCTAGTCTCAGGTCTGCTAGCCACCTGTTGCTTGGCTAGTCTCTGTGCCTAAGTTTGCTTATCTTAAAAGAGGGATATTGCCTCTTTCTTCACAGGGTGTTAGCACTGCTGCAGTAATTAATGGCTGCAGAGCCCATTTAGGCAAGGTCTGTGCCACCTCCCTGCAGGGAAACAAGCACAGCTTTCTCACTACCTCTGTGCCAGCACCTAGTCCCATCACCTGGGCAATGCAGACAGCCCAGGAGGAACAGAGGAACTGAGTGCATGCCCAGGCACCCCTTTTCAGTGCCATCTCAGACAAGCCTGAGAGCACCTTGCGATGCCTCCAAACCATCTACTCTGCTGACATGCCAGGCTTAGGCATGCCCAGAGTGAACCGTGAAGGCTCTTTTCGCAGTGGCATGTGATCCAGTTATAACCTTAGACCTGCAGTTGCAAGGTACTCACAATTACCTTATTTTGCTCTGCCATCTGGGGCAGGGCCTACTCTTTTTTTCTGCATCTGGACACAGCTTGTACTCGGGTACTCTGGTCTGCAACTGAGGCTCCCTGGTGCTGCCATGGCTGTTGACAGCAAGCAACACAGTGATGCCACAAGACCAGTTTACTGTGGAAGTTTCCAGTCTGCCTGGCACTATCACTGGGAGATCACTTATCTCTGGCTAATTGCTAAAATGCAGATAGAAGGTGGTGACTGTGATTGAGGAAGCTGACAGAGCGCCACTGCCCTCCATCACTAACACAAATGCCATCATGTTTTTTTTCTGGCTCATAGGAACGATGACTTTAAATTTCAGAGATGTGGAGGGGCAAGACTCCTACTACAGCCTGGCGAGCTCCTATGGGAATGAGATCAGACACAGAATTAAGTGCATTTTGGACACAACTGCATTAACATTAGGCAACATGAAATTGCCTGTGAACTATTGATTCATTTGAATGATATTATCCTCCTGTCTCCCTGACAGGTTATCCATTTACACTCTGCATCCTGTCAACCTGCAGAATGAGGGCAGATGGCTAATGAGACTCCGGGCCTGAGGAGATTCTGGATGCAAAGTGCCATGGCAAGTGGCATACCGACGCCTTGCAACACAGCTCCATGGCTGCAGTGGTGGGCAGGGAGGGAAGGGCGGGGGTACCAAGGACCTGCAGCTCCGTGAGATCACCTCCACTCTTGTTGGCTTCATCATACAGGCGTGGAAACTGAGGCACATGTTCCAAAATGGCCAACACATGCAACGCCCTAGAGGTTTTTGGCTGACCACAGTGGGGCAAGTACTCACAAAACTCCACATGCAGGAAGTGGGAGCTGTGGGTACTCAGGGAAGTCATACCCTTTTGGTACCATCCAGGACGGGTCTACCAAAAGACAAGGCTTCCAAAAATCATTGGTTTTCTTGATTATATTCTGATCGATGGGCATTTTCTTTGAGGCAAGGTGAGCTCCTTGCAGGACTGCCCTAACTGTCACATCTAGTGCTTTTTAGCACTTTGCAAAGGAAACCAGCATAATCACATTTACAGATGGGGAAACTGAGGCAATGGGCAATAAACCCTGAGGTCATGTGGCAAAATAGCAGGGCAGAGCTGGTATTAGTACCCAGACCTTGTGAGCACTAATCAGGTGCTCTGTCTACTAGCACACTGTCTCCTCAGGGGAGAGACCCCTGATGGCACGCTGACAAAGAGAAAATGTTTGCAGTAGTGAACTGTTAATAAGACTTTCTCAGTCCAACAGATGCGGTTCCTAAAAGTGCAGAATACCCTCGCTCTCAGTCTTTTTCTAAGCCAGCTTCTTGATGTTAAAAACCCCTACAAAGTAAAAAAGTAGTTCCTTCATATTCATAATGCACCCCTCCCTAACCTCTGGGTGCTGAATGTCCTCCAAATAAGCCTATTCGCACACAAAACTCCTCTATACTCCCACCCCCAGCTCCAGCCCCCTCTCAGAAATGACATCAAAAATAAGTCATGACCTCTGAGCTGACTATGGAATGAGATGTGGATTAAACAGCTCCTGGGGGAGATGCATCATTTGGAACTGGATAAAAGGATCTGGTAAGGTCAGAGCAGCTGCAGAGGGGAAAAAGGTGGCAGTACCTGACTGCTTTAGAAGTTGCCTCTGCCCCCTATTTATTTCCCCTTCGGCAGCCTCTCATGCCATTTGACATTTTCAAATCCACGTTTTACAAACACCACCTCATTTGCCATTCAAGCCCTGTGCCGCTCAGCTGATTTTCAGAGCTGGATAACCCATCACTCAGCTCTGTTCCACCTGCTGCCAGCCAAAGGGGATATTTGGCTTTTCAGTGATGCACTGCATCTGCAGCAGTTCGGCCCTGATGCTTTCTGTGCTTCGCTGCGCAAGCTGCAGGCTTAACCAGGGTCCTGGCGGGAGGTGACTTTCAGCCATCTTGTGGGCCCTCTTCTCCACACGTAGCGAGGGATTTGTCCTCGTGCCATGCAAGCTAGGGAACTATTATGCCCATTTCTCAAATGGCTGGGTCAGATACGTAGTTGGGATTCAAACCCAGGCACCTCAGCAACCCTTAATACTGACCTTGACCAGCTACTTTGGCTAGGGACAGAAGTTACACATAAACCAGTTTAAGTGATTAGAAACTGGTTTCAGCCTGTAACAGAACACAAGTTCAGTGCACGTAAACCAGTTTCACAATGGCCAAAACTAGTTTAAGATAAACCTGGCTGAATGTAGTATCAGACTTAACTGATTTAGGTGAAGCTGGTTTATGGAACTTCTGTCCAAGCCCCTTCCTGGTTCAAGTTAAATCACAGTCCCCCAGCATCCCAGGATGCTTTGCAAACCTGGGCCGGGCTGTGCCATCTGCTGCAGTAGCGCAGGGTTGGCCCTGCCCCTTTGCTGTCTAGCCGAGCAGTGTGGGCTGGCTGACAAGGCGGGGCGGGGGGGAAATCCAGCTGGGGGCACAGCCCAGTCTGCCTGGCAGGGGTGCAGCACCTCTGCCAGACTCTTCCCAGCTGGAGTGGAGGGGGTGGGGGCTGGGGACAGCAGGCTCAGGCAAAGGGGGATTAAACCATCATCTCCCATCTCCCCTCTCCCACCAGCATGGGACCCCAGCTGGGGTCTGCCTGGCTTTTCCTCCCTGCTCGCAACTCAGCATGGCCTGGGACCCCCAGAGCCCCCACCCCAGCCAGGGGATGATCCAAGTGCACCTTACCAGTGGCTGGGGCAGGGGTTTCACTTGGGGCAACCCAGAAGCAAAGGCCAAATTGGGAGGAGGGAGGAGAGCAAAACCATCCTGGCTGTTGTTCAGAATTTTGGTTTCTACTAGCTTATCATATAGGGACTCCTTGAGAATTTTTTCAAGGATTTTTCCTGGTATTGAGGCCAGACTGATCAGCCTCACCCCCTCCAGGGATGCTGGGCAGAGCAAGCACCACAGCCCTGGAGTGCCCAGTTACCTAGGGGCTACAATGGACTTCCACCATCCCCCATACTGGATCTCTGCT